ATCCCTGTCATGTCTAGAAGGGACCAGGCAAAACAATCGGCATTAGCTTTAAGAAAATCAATAAGTTTTTTCCTGACCTTGGGGGATAACCTCTTGCCCAGGTATACCTTTCGATCTGGTAGATGCTTAATTAATATAACTTGCCCCAACTCCTAGACCGTTGATTTGGTGGCGTCGGTGTCATCGGGCACTATGAAACATCTCGGAACATTGTAGTCGTCCCCATTATCTGCTCCTTGTTCTTCCTGTTTCTCCGGTTCGGCTGAAGCCGGTACCATTGATTGCTATTTATTNGTGAAGCCCTCCAATGGCAGAAAACTTGAAACCCTAGATTTGAGATCCGGGTGCTTCTACTCAGATTCGAGGGGATTTGGTTGGGGATTAATGATGAGGGAGGTCAGGGGGGTATATGGTATGAATTTGGGATGGTTTGGACGGAGTTGCGTCATGGCCGAAAAACTTCGATCGAATATTCGAAGCTTTGGGGTGGGTTTCAAGGAAAAACAAGGCTAGATTCGTGAAGAGGAAGATGAGAAGAAGAGGTGGTGTAATTTTCAGGTGATTTGGATGAACGCCGCCGGCGAAGACGATTTCCGGCCGGCGGCGGGCGACGGAGAGCGGCGGAGACGGTGGCGTTACGCCGGCGTGCATGAGGGATTCCGAGAGATAATTGAGGGGTAGGGGGGGCTATCCGACATTAATATACCCAACATCATAGTCAGTTCTGGACCGTTGAATTGATAAGATCCAACGGTCGTGATTAATAGATCACAAAACGACGTCGTTTGGTCCCTCTTGGGACCGGACCGGGTTGGGCATTCGCCTGGGCCTGGACCGTTTGGTCTTGGCGGGTTGGGTGCAAAAATGGCCCAAATTCGGATTTCTTCTATGTTATTTTCCTTTTTGATTTTGTTTTCTTTTTTCTTTTTTTTTTTATTTCAATTCGTATTTTTGTATATATTTTGATCTTATAACAAATGCTCACAATCAACTTAACACTAAAAATTAGATTTCCTAATTAATTCCTAATTAAAAGAAAGATACAAACTAATACCGATTTGAACTAAAAAATGCAAAACGGACCATTTTGTTATTTTCTTTACATTTTGTTCTAAACAAATTAACCTCTAATTAATAAAAATATGAAATTAAATCCTAAATGCAAATGTATTTTTTTATATTTTTCATATGAATTATCATGCAATCAATTAACACCAAATTCCACAAAAACTCACAAAAATTTGTAAAATCTTTTATTTGGAACTTTTTGGAATAATTTGCTTTGGTCAAAAATCACGTGCTCACATGAGTGAGATCTTCTCCGCCTAGCATCACATTCGGGAGATTCAAGGTAGCTGCAAATTGGCGTTCGCAGTGCTGATATTCCTTCTATCTTATTTATTTGTTTCCGCATTTTAGAGAACATTATGTAGTAGGTTAATACCCATGCATTAGAGGCTCAAACTTGTGACACCAGATTCTGTAGGCTGATTAGTATTTTTATTTTGGAGTTTCGAATGTTAGAAATTATTTCAGAAATTCCGCATTTAATTTGGTATTTTAGTTGTGAATATTTATTTATCCTCTGTGATTAATCGGTCAAGGTTGTCTACATGGTCGGGCTTGCCTAGCAGTGTGTTGGGCGCCATCACGATCGGGGTTGGATCGTGACAGTGTCAAACTGATATTGCTGCAATTTCGGCTTTACTCGAACCTTGCGGACAAGGTTCTTTTTGAGGCGGGAGGTATTGTTGTGAACTTAGTGAGTGACTCGGTGGAACACATATTTGAAAATTTGGAAAATTATGTGTGGGACCCATTTTGAGCAAGGCCAGATGCTCACTGCGTGAAAGTGCATTGTGAGAGAATTAATTATAAATACAGTAGAAGGCATAGTGCGTTGGATACGGAAGTTGTCAAGTGTTATCTATGTTTTCTCATCTTTGAGATCTTCTATACTTCCCATCCCTAATTCTATATCATTCTATTTCTCACCTCTTTATTCTTAGATCTTCACTAACAGTGTTCTTACTTTCATTAGCCTTTGCTTTGTAATTTCAATTATTGTAGAATTAATACAATCAGTTGTTTGGTATATTATCTGGGTTGTTACACTTGAGCATTTCTAATTAATAAAAGCGTACCTCTTGGATTCAGATTTTCCCTCGAAGCACGTCTATTTTCTATATTTGCCACCATTTACAAGTTGCCCCGCGGGTAGTACTGTCTGTTTTGGGTCTAAACTTGTAAGAATTAGCTTAATTTGCAACTGATAATTGAAATTAGTCCAACTTTAGCCACTTTTTTCATGAGAAAATAAAATTTGGACAAAAATGCCCTTAGTTAAAATCCAAAACAATTCTATTGTAATATGTTCGAGTTTGAATTTTTACCATAAGAAATTCTAGCAAAATGTGTTGGAATTCCAGCATAATATGCTAGAGCTTTATACACTTGAGTTTCATAATCCATCATATTATGTTAAATTTTTTCCGTGTTTGAGCTAAGGATGTTTTTGTTCAAATTTTATCTCCATATTAAATAGTTATTATTGTTCACTTACTTTGCAAATAATGACCATTTTTCAATTACTAGTCCGAAAGCTGGCCAAACCATGCTATTTTGACTTTAAATTATGTCATTAAGGTCTAAGTAGGGGTGTACATAGGTCGGGTTGGTTCGGGTTTTGCAATTACCAAACCAAACCAACTGTGTCGGGTTATTAAATCTAAAGACCAAACTAAACCAATAAAACTCGAGTTTTTAAATTTCGGTTTTTCTCGGGTTTTCGGGTTTTTCGGGGGTTATCCGGCAAAATCTTCGTAGCACAAAACATATAACTTGTGCTCAAAATATTTCTTTAATCCTAGTAAGATACAACTATATAAGGTATTTTTCAAGAAAATAATAAAAAATATGAGATGTGTCGTGGCATTATCCTAAAATATTCAACGATAAAGACAATAAAATTATGTAATATAAATATTGTTAATTAAAAAGCCATAATAAAAATAAACATAATCTAAAAGTACTAAGTCATGCTAAAATGAGTATTAATTACATGAGTAAACGTTAAAGAAAAAATAAATAGGTTATGCTTTTTTATCTAAATCATTGCAAAACAAAAAATAGATATTCAATACATTGTCGTTCCTACTAATGAATTGAATGTCTTTTGTTAGCATTAGTATTGATTTGATTTTGTTTGGCTTTGTTAGTATTATTTAAGTTACTAATATTAATAGATATAAAACTTATTGGAACAAAAGTTCAAAGTTCAACCTTGAAATAATAATACCTTAAAAGATAAAATTATAAAAAAGTTTAAGAAATATTTATAAATACATCACAATAAGTATAAGTATATATTAAATATATCTAAAATTTCTATATATGTAATGTCGGGTTGGTTTAGTTTCGGTTTGACTTTCTTTAGTTAAAACCAAACCAAACCAATTATGGTCGGATTTTTTTTTCCAACACCAAACCAAATCAAACCAAAGCATAGTCGGGTTTTGTTTCTCGGTTTGACTCGAATTGGGTTGATGCGGCTTGTCGGTTTCCTTTGTGCACCCCTAGGTCAGTAGGTCTAAGTATTGCTCCCTTAGTGGAAGTATACTCAGCATCTCTATTTTACCAATGTGAGATTTGCCCAAGTGTTGATAGTTTCATCCGTATAAAGCCCTTCTGGTCGTCTAAGAAGAATCAACCTGAATATTCATTCAATCAATCGCTTAAATTAAAGATAATCGGCGGATGTATAATATATGTATAATTTATTTTATAATTTATGTATAATTATGTACACTCCGTGTATAATTTTAAAAAGGAATATCAGTGAATACGGCCAACTATTTGTGTAAAAATCCCTAGAGTTAAAGAGTAACCATACGGCATACACTGGGATTCAACATGCTCTTGCCAGTTTATCCCACTCCAGCATAGGTAGCATAAAGTTTGGCAATTTTTGTTCTTTTGTTATCGCCGGATTAACATTAGCAATTGCATGTTTTCTTTTATGTCTTATAGTCCAAAGATGCCAACATAATTATTGAGGAAACAATCTTACAGATGACTCGAAGTAGAACTGCCTCCGAGTTAACTTTCATATTCCACAAATTTCATATTAGTCGATAATTGTTTTGGCCACTAGTCCCGAAAAGTAGTGTTTGTCTAAACTTGGAGATCAACAACACCAATACCAATTATAGCATGAAGCAATGGCAAATCCCTTGGCTTGTGAAATATCATCTGGTGGTCTAGCCTTTGTGTAAATGAGTTGATTTATTATGATCTCTAACTACAACACTTCGAATTATAGTACTCCCTTCGTTCCAATTTATGTGAACCTGTTTGACTGGGCACGGAGTTTAAAAAAAGTGAAGACTTTTGGAATTTGTGGTCCTAAACAAGTCAAAAAGGCCCCAGGGTATTTGTGTGGTTATAAAAACTTCTCATTAAGGGTAGAATTGTAAGTTTAAGCTAAATTGTTTTCAAATTTAGAAAGGATTCATTCTTTTTGGAACGGACAAAAAAGGAAATAGGTTTCATATAAACTGAAACGGAGGGAGTATTTCATTTTGACAGACAGTTAAAATTTAAACTAAAAATCATATCAATGTTGTCTCTTTGGAACTTTCGAAAATTGAAAATGAGCAAATGTCAAGAAATTCTGCTAAGCTCCTTTGAAGGTAGAGTACCTAGTACCTACAAATATTGAGTTGGTGGTACTATGAAAGTTAGTTAATTACGGGAAAAAAAATATATATATGTTCATTCTCAGTTATTTGTAGCTCTCGTTTAAATTTTATGCGAGAGGGGAAATAAGGTTTGATATAATGATTGCATTGCTAAGGGAACTTTATTTATGATATAATTTGGATATCGAAAAATGATAGTACCAGAATTTTTAGTTATCCTTAATTCTTGAGATACGTCGAACAAATAAATACTAATACGATGTTTGTGTTAAGCCACCAAACACTTGAGAGAGTGTACAGTTTTAGAAAGAAGCACAGAGCATAACGTTAATAAACTTTTATATAGATATTAATACATGCATCATACAGGTGCAGTGCAAATTACATAAAAATTACAGAAGTGGAACATTTTGCAGGCATTGAACTCTTGATAGCCTTATCTAAGAACTCAAGGGAATGTAATCCATTGGCACACTTGGCTGACACTTCATCTTGCTGCTTTATGCTATTTATGTCATCTTGAAGTTTCTCTATCTTTGTTTGCATCTCCTCCGTTATAACAGCAATTTCTTGTTTGTCAAGTCTAGGGTGTGAAGGCGATTGATCTTTTGATCCTTCCTTTCCGATTTTAATCCCACCTGCAGAAATAATTGAAAATATTGAAATTAATAGGTATATCAACACATAAAATAATAAATGTTAAGACCAAAATTATAAGGAAATATGTGAAAATACTATAAGGCTAAAGATAACCATCTCGACTCACGACTATTCAGTTCGAGAAAAATATCAAGTAGAGCTTGTCCGAAGGATGAACGGCTCAGCTTATACGTAGCTGTTTCTGTTCCTCCAAATCCAAATATCTGATTCTAATATTAAGAGGATCTCAAAGAAATCAATAGAGAGGTTGATTACAAGTATCCCATAAATGATACACAAGTTTAACGGCTAAAACGGTAGTAAGCATTACAATCATATCCTAAATCAGTATAGAATTACAGTTCAAAAGTTTTAGTTAAGAATATGGTCAGAGCGAAGGAAGGCTGTGTTAGCAATATAACCTTAATGCTGAACCAATATGGAAGAGCAAAAACAATTACTTGAAAGCAATTAATCCAAAGAAACACAAAAATTAAGTACCATATTTGTGGGTAGGTTATGCGCAATAAATACAAATTAGGAAGGAGATAGGTAGACTTAAATAAGCTAGGCGTAAATACAAACATGAGGAAGTAAAGCTGAAAACTTAAATAAGCTAGACTGAGTTATAGACTTATACTACATCATTTAGAAGGGATAGTTAATAAGAGGGGAGGAACTTTTGTAACATATTGCATATACAATGGTAGCAACAGAATTAAGTTCTGGTCTGCTATTTGGTGCAGAAAGTTGTTCAATAATAACAGTCTACCAGCAAGTTCTTTCAGTAGTCAATCACAAAATGGTTGGGCTCTCAGATGTTAATTCAGAAGAAAACTTCAAGACGGAAGGTTAGTACTTATATGAAGCTCTTAAGCTAAATAAATTTTCTTTTAAATAACTAATCCTGGAAACTATTAACAATATAGTAGTAGACATTTTCAACTATTTTATATTTCACTCACTCCTAAGACAAAGGTTCGTAGTCTCTCATCTCTAAATTAACCCATCTGATTGGTTCATGTATTAGCCAACGATCATCACTATAAATTAAAAATATGTTCTGTCAAGAATTCAAGATACTACTCCAGCACAATAGATATTCTTAGTAGCTTTTACTATTAAAGTAATATCTTTTTTTCCCTCTTCTAAACATCCTCTTGTATATAAGAAAGATAGAAAAATTTTGAGAATATTTGTAGACTTCTAAGCATTCAATAACATTTCTCGAGAAAACATAATTGCTTCTACCAAGCTATCAACGTGCATCTGATATACTATAGATAGAATAGTATATTAGTTCTATCTATTTCAAAGTTTCATAAAAAATGAGTACGTCGTATGCATTAAAGTGTCAACTTTCACTTGATTCCAAAGGCAACAACTTAAATGGTATCTCGAAAGGTGAACTCTTGATGAATTTCCTTCCCTAAACATGGCTGCAGAGGTTATTTACATGCTATTCTTGAATGCTTATAATTCCTCTCTGTGGAAACTTTCTTGTCAAAAATTCATAATGCTTCAGCAAAGTACAAGTTAAGAATTGGATCATGATTTAGCCCATGTCAGAAGGTATTATTCAAAAGAAGCTTCAAAATAATCTAACACCAATGGTCTATGGGTGCTTAAAAAGTATTTCAGATCATCTCTGCATTAACAACAAGCCTAAAATTTGCCAGCTTCTTTTGTCCCTTGATATGTATTCAATGTAGAAATATCAACAGCAAATATCTCGCTTATCCTAAAGATGGTGCTGACATATTGAATTACCTAAGGTTCAATTCTTTATCATGACATAATTGACTTTCTCTCAAGTTTTATGGGAAGGGAACATACCATTATCAAGTGCAATAACAAAACAGAAAAAAAGGGACCTTAAAAAAGATTATAGTTTTTTTTTTTGATAACCATGGTACCCGAGCCAGCTTGCGCACATCTCCAGTAATTACAGGGGTACCTGCTACCGACAAATGGGAAGAAATCACCTAATATTTTTGCCTGAAACCTAAAAAAAGAAGACCATAGTTGGACTTTTCTATCACCATTTATTTCCAACAGTGGTACTGGTTCTACTTAGTTCAAAACCTTAACTTTACCCACCATAATCAAAAATTTCTAAACCACATTCTCTTATTCAATCAAAATTCTGGCAAAAAAAAAAGGAACAAGTATGAAAAAGATAAAGAAAAAGAGAAGGAGACATGCCTGATGAACAAGATGAACAGTAGGTGCCAAGAATACAATAAATTTCTTCTCATCACCAGTCTTCAATGTTTTACTAATTTCTCTGATCATCATCACTGCTATATATGTCTTTCCAGCCCCAGTTTCCAATACACATATAGTGTTCCTCCTCATTGCCACTTCATATACCTCCAATTGGTAACTGCAAAAAAAAAAACATGCAATTTCATCAAATTTCAACAACTTATTTAAAAAATATATAAGAACCCAAAATTTTTTCCATACTCTCTTGGAATAAAATCTTCCTTCTGTTCTTTAGCTATCTCTATCCGGCAATCACAACATCAACATAATGCATGAAATGAGCAACTCACGGCAACAAAGTTTAAAGCTCACTCAGTCTTTCTGTTTTCTTTGTTATATCCAAATGCAGCTAAAGTGTATTGTGATTTTAGCAAAGAATTCCAAAAAGAAACTACAAAAGCAATTGGAAAAGACTGTAGCCCTCTCAGTAATCTTGGAATTTAAAGAAAAAACAGCCTTTGGAGTTTGATCAACATAGATTTAAGTTTTTTCATAATATCCAGGCATAAAAGACCCTACAAATTGCAGTAATTGTTAAAAATTAATTGAACCGAAAAATACTTCAACATAAACTATTAATAAACCCATCTTAATCTCAGTAGAAACGTTTATGTAACCTCTAAGATGGTCTTGCATATAAATTAACTCTTAACTGTAACTGAACCTTATATAAGTTAGCAAATATAAGTAATGATGCAGTAACTTAAATTAGAGAAAAGAGAATATTGTGCCAATAGAAAGATACAGTAAAATATATTTGGTGCTGGAATAAATATGCACAACTCTCTAAAACAACATATAAGAACATAGGATTTATATTATTCTCTAGAATAAAAACCAAATGTATTTTGGAATTGCGCAAAAATAGAAGATAGAAAGATAACTATTAAAGCTAGATTAGATTGTGTAAATCAACTGATTAAATAAGTTTCTATAGTATGCCAAAACATTAGGCAACAACAAAAACTCTTAGTCTTCTTTAGGAACAGGGATTTATAAGGTTCATTCCTGACCTTGCAATATGAGCTACCCATAACATTGTCAAGCAGTTGCCTTGCAATCCTTGCTTTTTTATTCCCATATGAACTTCAGTAAAATCCTATGAGCATTTGAAGACCTTTCATTCATTCACTTCATCACTAAAATGAGAGTAGAATGACAGAATGCACAAAAACTCAATTGCAAACCCTAGGTTAAAATCACTTTAACCAAAATACAAACAAAAAAAAAGAGCAGAGAAAGCAGGGATTCATGATTAGTTACCAGTTTGCTCCACCGTAACTTAACTCTCATCACCGAGAACCTCTCCTTATTTCTCTTAATCTTCTTGAAATTCAAGAGCAACTCACTTTAGCACCCAATTGACGAAGTTGTCGAAGCATTCAAAGGCATGGATATCACCACCAACTCCATTTTCATAAACCAATAATTCAGTTCCTTAAAAAATAAAAATATAAGATATTCCTCTAGCTAATTGCGGAAATAGAACTGGAGAAGAAGATACCAGCTTTAATTTGTGGTTAGACGCTGCGGAGACTTTGGGGGCAGAGAAATTCAACCGAAACTCCAAGTTCTCCTATCAAAAAAATTGACACAACATCAACAACCGATGAATTTAAGTGATGAATACAAAAGTGGTACAAATCGACAAAGGAAACAGACTGAAGCTTGTATAACTGAAGGAAGAAAAAATTTAGAAAGGTGAAGAGTGAGAAAATACATAAAGGCAACATCTGTAGCGGTGATTGCTAGGTAGGATAGGTTAAATTGACCTTAGAATCGATATTCTAATCAGCATTCAGTAACACTCATAAGGGTCATAATAGACAATTCAATATACAGCTGGACTAAAATCACCAAATAGCCTTTGGTCGGCAAGCAGGGATGTCGACGGTCTCCTGCATGCTTGCAAGCACTGGCCCAACAGTTTAAGTTATGGTGTGTTTTCGTTTGAAAAAAATACTGTGTAATTTCAAGAGTACTCAGGTAACATCCCTGCAAAGCTTCCTATGTCATATCATTTGTCAGGAGTAACCAAGAACCCAATGAGCTGGAAAAATCAGCCAAGGCTGCTTCTGTTTGTCTACTGATGCAAGACAATGTTTAATAAAACTATATTGCTCAGATCCCTCTCTCCAATCATGCTCGTTGTCTGCTATGCAAAAGTGAAACATGCTATAATCTGCTGAATACCTGCAGTTAACATACATAAGTCATAGCAAATGTCAGAAGTTGATGGCACGATAAGAGGCAATCCACTTATCGTTTTTTGCGTTTTTTCTAGTGACAAATGATAATTTGTAAATAAAGCAAAATGATATAACGCTCTACTATTAAACACATATTTTCTATCATTTTCATTCTTTTTCGAAAATAAAACATATTATCCCTTTAGACCGGTAGAAACAAAGCTAGACAGTTTGTATGGTACCCGAAGGTCTCAAATATTCAAGAGTTGACTTCGGTGTAAGATCTATATATGTACTTATATGAACATGCGAAAGGATTGTCATATTTGTACTACATAAATAGCAAGCCATTCATTTATGTAGATAATAGAAGTAAACTTAAGTTTTGGAATAACTTACAATGATACATCTTCAAATACCAAATGGGATCCAAAGCGACTGCAAATCCGGCCTTGCATAGATTAATAACGAAAATCAAACACATAAGAAAACCAAAAAGGAAATTATGGAATCAATAAAGTATGAACAAAACTCACTCCAAAAGCTAATAAATCAAATCATGACAGCAACAAAGTTGAAGAAACAAAGCTTTTTACCCAAAATCAAAATTACCAACCCATGTTCCTCCAAAATCACCTGTAATAACTATATTTAAATGATGAAAAGTTTTAAACAAAAAGCACATCCAAAATAACTCCAAATTTTGCGTAAATGAAAAAGAGATAAAATATTGATATTTTTGTAACCAAAATGGAGAACATTTGTGAGTCAGCTAGGAGGGGGCTACTCGAGCCAGGCCAGTCAGTAAGAACACAGTTTAGGTAGCAGCAAAAAGTTCTTCCGGGTGACAGAAGCATTGTGATATACTTTAGGTTTTGGAAGATGCAATATATGTTATTTCACTGATCACCCTACATTTTAGAATTGTAAAACACGGAGAGATAGTAAACCCTCCTCCTTTGTCCGGGCTTGGGACCGGTTGTGATCCAGTAGTGTAACTGAAACACAGGCGGAGTTAAAAACTTGATTTTTCCCCGGTAGGCTATTTTCACAAGTTGAACGAAAATTGTGGAAATATGTAACAAGCGTTTGTAATTTTAGATTTTTCACTGATTGGTCCGTGAAAATTTACACTAAGCATTTTGATTGTATATTGCACATCGAAAAATTATATCAAAAGACTAAAAGTTTAGCAAGCATTCGAAAGTACACAAGCCAACTTATTTACAACAACAACAACAACTACCCAGTATAGTCCCACAAGGTGGGGTCTGGGGAGGGTAATACGTACACAGGCCTTACCCCTACCCGAAAGGGCAGAGAGGCTATTTCCAATCGACCCTCGGCTCAGGAAAAGGAAAAGGAAAACAAAAACAAAAAACAAAAAACAAAAGAGCATTAGTAACTCCAGCAGAGATCACATAAATAATTATCTAAACATAAACCATAAATAAAATGGCATGCAAATATATCGACCAGTAACTACCATAAGGGGGCACAATACAATACACAGATCATCTATAGAGAGCCCTACCAACCCCCCCCCCCCCCAAGCCCCGGGACAGAAGTACGAAAAATTCTGGAAGCCCCTATCCTGCAACCCTGATACTAGACCTCCAGACTTTCCTATCAAGGGCCATGTCCTCGGAAATCCGCATTCTAGCCATGTCCTGCCTAATCACCTCTCCCCAATACCTCTTGGGCCTCCCTCTGCCTCGACTCGCGCCAACCACCGCCAGCCGCTCACAACTCCTCACCGGGGCATCGGGGTTTCTCCTCCGCACATGCCCGTACCACCTGAGCCTCGCTTCCCGCATCTTCTCATCTACTGGGGCCACCCCTACCTTCTCCCGAATAACTTCATTCCTAATCCTATCTAACCTGGTGAGCCCGCACATCCACCTGAGCATCCTCATCTCCGCAACCTTCATTCTCTGGACATGGGAGTTCTTCACCGGCCAGCACTCGGCCCCATACAACATGGCAGGTCTAACCGCAGCTCTATAAAACTTCCCCTTGAGTTTCTGTGGCACTTTCTTGTCACACAAGACTCCTGATGCAAGCCTCCATTTCAACCACCCCGCCCCTATACGGTGAGTGACATCCCCGTCGATCTCTCCGTCCCCCTGAATCACCGACCCAAGATATCTGAAACTGTCCCTCTTGGCGATGACCTGAGATTCAAGCTGTCCTTGCCTACTTCGCTCGGCTCGGCGCTAAACTTGCACTCCAGGTACTCTGTCTTAGCCCTGCTTAGTTTGAAACCCTTGGACTCGAGAGTCTGTCTCCAGACCTCCAACCTCTCGTTAACACCAGACCTCCAACCTCTCGTTAACACCAACCCTCGTCTCGTCTATCAGGACTATGTCATCAGCAAATAGCATACACCATGGCACATCCCCTTGAATATGGCGTGTTATAGCATCCATCACCAAAGCAAATAAAAGAGGGCCAAGTGCAGATCCTTGATGAAGCCCCATTACCACCGGGAAATGGTCTGAGTCGCCACCCACCGTCCTAACCCTAGTCTTAGCTCCATCGTACATGTCCTTGATCACTCTGATGTAGGCTTCCGGCACGCTCTTCGCCTCCAGACACCTCCATAGCACCTCCCTTGGGACCTTGTCGTACGCCTTCTCCAAGTCGATAAACACCATGTGCAGGTCCTTCTTCTTATCCCTGAAGTGTTCCACCAATCTCCTGACAAGGTGGATAGCTTCTGTAGTGGACGGCCCGGCATGAAACCAAACTGGTTCACGGATATAGACGTCATCTCCCTCACCCTCGCCTCAACCACCCGCTCCCAGACTTTCATGGTGTGGCTTAATAATTTGATACCCCTATAGTTGTTACAACACTGGATATCCCCTTTGTTCTTATACACGGGCACCACTATACTCCACCTCCACTCCTCCGGCATCCTCTTAGTCCTGAAGATCACATTGAACAACCTGGACAGCCACTCTACTCCTGACCTACCTATGCATTTCCAGAACTCCACCGGGATTTCGTCTGGCCCGGTCGCTCGACCCCTACTCATCCTACGCAAAGCCCCCACGACCTCCTCCACCCTAATGCGCCTGCAGTAGGTCTCTATGACACTCTGAATTCCCCAACTCCCCTAGCTCTACGTCTCGATCCCCCTCCTCGTTAAGCAGGTCTCGAAAGTACGCCTGCCACCTCTGCTTGACTTGAGACTCCCCCATCAGAACTCTACCATCCTCGTCCTTGATGCACCTAACTTGGTCTAGATCCCGCGCCTTCCTCTCCCTCACTTTAGCCAACCTGAATAACTTCCTGTCCCCGCCTTTCTCCCCCAATTCCTCGTACATGCGACCAAACGCCGCATTTT